ATATAGATAGATAGATAGATAGATAGCGAGCGCGCGCAGTGGCTCGAACAAAATTAAAGATCCACAATAGAAACCTAACTTCTAATATAGGCCATATATAGTATAGACCAACCTATTTAAAGAAAGTCATGAAGAGAACTTAAAGAAGGTGAACCATGCTGAACTAATCTGGACCCAATAGCTTCATTTCACCTTGTTCAAAACATCCAACCGAAAAACGGTATTGACTCCCATATAAAACCTCATACGGGACGATCTTGACTGGAAACTATTGTTGAGGGCAAATTCCGCGCTAATGATAACTGCTCATCCAATTGATCTCCTAAGTTAATGACATGGTTATCTATAAGACTTGAGAATAGCACCACAGAAGCTACATACAATAGCCTTCCAAGATTTCCAGTATAAAGGAATATAACAAAATCTGGTAACAGTACACATATCAGCAACGTGAGCACTACGGCCACATCTCGAACAGGAGCCAGCTACCGGTTTACTCCGCTTCATTATTGACCTCTGATCCACCAGAAAGCAAAAACAGACCATCAAAACTACTTATACCAAATAGAATAGTAAAAATTTCAGAAAGCTTTTGATTTCTTTGGCAAACTTTTCTTCCTTACTCGAGTAAAGGAGTCGGCTGAGGATCCGAAAGATCGGTGGCTTAAGCTATAAGTACTACTACTACACGGGACTATTTTCTATCTTTTAAATTTTCTTATTATATTGGGAAAGACAAAGGAAAAGGGAAAGTAGACACTGAATATGTCAATTACATACTTGTTGTAGGAAAAAATTTCAACGAAATCATTTAAAACACATTGGTGTGTTTGAATACTTAAATTACAACGTGTACTTACTACTCCCTCCTGTCCAAAATAAATAATTTTTTGGTTGTTTTTACACATATTAAAAGATTCACCTCTTAACATTAATTAGCAATGACATTGGACATATTAATCTTTACCATCTCTTCACATAAACACTCCTAACATATTCTCCAACATTATTTACTCCAAGGGCAATGTACGAAAAAAATAATTAATTCATTCTTAAAATCAGAAAAAATCACTTATTTTGGACCACAAAAAAAAGGCCAAAACATTACTTATTTTGGACCTAAGGGAGTAGTAGGGTAGTAAGTTACGTTGTGCCATAATTACACCATCTAGTATTTCGAAGACTTGTTTGTTTATCATACTGTATAAGGTACACCTTTAATTCACACTGTATGTTAGAGCCGTCAATATGGGCTTGGCCCGTTGGGCCAGCCCGTGATTTAACAGGGCTGGGCTAGAATTTTTGGAGCCCGTTTAAAAACGAGGCTTTTAAGCCCGGCCCGAATAAGCCTGTGGCCCGTGAGGCTTGACTGAGGCTGGACCGGGCCGGCCCGTGGGCCTAATAAAATATTTATTTAAAGTATATAAAAAATAAAAAGTATACTGCCTTTAGAGATGGAAAGTCAGAATTGGATCTTTTCTAAGAGGAACCAAAACTTGATCTTGAGAAGTTTTAAGAGATGGATGTTGTAATATATTGGAAGGACCATACCATTCTAGAAAATATCCCGATCTTTCAATGATGGTGCGTGATGTACTTAGTATTCTTATTACCATTGTAGCATCGGAATCAACATTTAGCATTGGTGGCGTGTTCTTACAAAGTACGGAAGTTGCATTTATTATGAAAATGTCCAAACACTTGTTACTACTCGAAATTGGCTGCACAGGTTTTCCCAAACTCAAACTGGTAATATCTTTTTATGTAAATTTAAATATTATTAATTTTTAAAATTTAATTATTTTTATTATTTAACTAATTAATATTGCATATGAATTGTACATGTGAAGATGTTAAGATAACCTTGTCACAAGTGGATTCAAATGTGTTTGATGAAGATGATGTGTTGGATATCTCATAAGTATGATGAACGTTCTCTTGAATAGTTTGTTTTATGTTTTGACTTTTAGTGAATGAAATATAGTCTTGTCTTTTACTTTTTTTAGTATTTATTATGATATATTGGAACAATATAAAAAGTTATTAAATTTTGCGAATTTTTTCCAATAAGATATTTTTTAACTTTTAAATAATTAACTTTTTTTTGGTCAGAACATAAAGAAAAAGTATAAAATTATATTTTTAAAAATGATGGGCCGGCCCATGGGGGCCCGCAGCCCATATAGGGCTGGGGTGGGCTGACCATTATAAGGCCCATCAAAATAGTGGGCTAGCCCAGCCCAGCCCATCAATTGCTAAAGCCCACGTGGGTTGGGCTGGGCTAGCCCGGCCCAACCCATATTGACAGCTCTACTGTACGTGTTTGTTTGAAGAAATGGTTTCAAAAAATTGAATAAGTAAACAAACATACATGTATTTAAGAAATCTCCTAAATACTCTTTAATGCTAGGTATTGTAGAATACATATTTTCTACTCCCTCCGGTCCACTTTAATTATTTTTTTGAATATTTTTATACATATGAAGGAATTTACTTTTTAGCTTTAATTAACAATAAAAATGACCATATTATTTTTTTGAATATTTTTATACATATGAAGGAATTTACTTTTAGCTTTAATTAACAATAAAAATGTCCATATTAACCTATATTTGTTCATTGGAAATATAATAAGTACTTCTAGGTTCTTTAATTACTCAAGGACAACTTTTAAAAAAAAAATTAATTCCTTCTTGATATCTGAAAAAATTAAATATTATGGACCACAAAAAAAAAGGCCAAAAAATCAATTTATAAAGTGGACCGAGGGGGTAGTAAATATATTACTTAATTATAATTCGGTAACTAATATTATTTATAATAAATAGTTTCGTACAAACAAATAATAATTTATCCTCAATTCATTAATAATGTATCCGATTACAAGTTCAAAATTGTCCATTAATTCATGTGAATATAATCCTAATTCCTAGATTAGTTTCATATATAGAATAATAAAAACATAAATATGAGAAATGGAAGTATTTTCTTTAACAAAAAATTGCACTGCTAAATAAATGAGGAGCAGCTTGGACAAAGAAATAGGAGTAGCAAAATAGTAAAAATATATATATGGAGTAATTTATGTTTGAAAAAGAAAATAAAAATTAAACAGGAAGGTCGCCTTTAGAATGTAAATATATGTAATTACTACTAATTCTTAGTCCATTGGAATTGAAAAGTGGAATTGTATTCCTTGAGTTACTTTAAATTCAGAGGTGACGAAGTACTTATTTAACTAAACAAATAAAACAAGATAAATCATGTAACTATACTCAAATCAAATTCTCATCCAATGCTAATTGGCACATGAAATTTGACGTTTGATCCTATTTCCAAACCAAGGGACAGTGGCCACGCGTGGGAACACTGTACATGGTGCTATACTTTTGTACGATTCATTTTTTGAAGAGGAAAATGGGTTCGACTTCCATAATTAAGGACAAAGACTGATATGTTCATTTTATAGTAGTTAAAATGTGTTTTTCTTGTGTTTTATCTACTAACTTGGCCGCTTCAAGTCTGTTAAATCAGCTCAAGGTCGAGCATTTATGGCGGTTTACAAGTGAGAGAAAGCGGAATATTCTAGAATAGTAGAGAGAGGAAAAATAGAAAAAGTGAAATCTGAAAATGATCACTAGAAATTAGAATTATGACAAGTACTGTAGCATACATATATACACCAAAATGAATTTCTAATCTATGTCTAATCTAACCACTTTACAGATATAGCCACTATACAATTTACATAATTAACCACTAATAATCTCAATACCCCCCCCCCCCCTCAAGTTGGTGGTGTGGAAAACACTGCCAACTTGTGTAGAGCAGCTGAATGTCGAACTCCTGTCAGTGCCTTTGTTAGAACATCAGCTAGTTGATTTGTTGTTCCCACATGATGTAATGAGATCAGCCTTTCATGTAGCTTATGTCGTACAAAGTGACAGTCAACTTCTATATGTTTAGTTCTCTCATGAAATACAGGGTTCCTGGCTATGTGCATAGCTGATTGGCTGTCACAAAACACAGCAATTGGCTTGGGAGATGGTACTGAAAGTTCTTCAAACAATCGACTAAGCCATACCAATTCTCCACTACTTTTCTTAAGGCTCTATACTCTGCTTCTGCTGAGGAGAGGGAGATAGTGTCTTGTTTCTTTGATTTCCAACTTATTGGACTGTTTCCCATCAACACAAGGTAGCCACTTACAGATTTTCTGGAATCTGGGCATGCTGCCCAATCTGAGTCACAATATGCCTTGATTGTGTAATCTTGATCTTTAGATAAAAAAAATGCCTAAGGTGGGATCCTTCTTCAGGTATCTAAGTAGATGAAAAGCTGCTGTCAAGTGTGGTTTCCTGGGATCATCCATGAACCGGCTTAAGTGTTGCACACTATAAGCTATATCCAATCTAGTGTTTGTGAGGAAATTGAACTTTCCTATCAGCTTCCTATAGTAAGTAGGATCTGTTAATTTTTCCCCTTCTTTGGCTTTGAGCTTCATAGTATGATCCAATGGAGAACTAAAGCTACTATAGTCTGTACAGTGATACTCTTTTAACAAGTCAAGAGTGAATTTTCTTTGGGAGACTATGACACCATCATCTTTGTAGAGGATTTCCAAACCCAAGAAATAATGTAGTTTCCCCAAATCTTTTATTTTGAAATTATTGTTCAAGAATGTTTTCAGGTCTGTAATTTCCTCAGTGTCAGTTCCTGTAACTACAATATCATCAACATACACTGCTATGTATACAATGGACTCTCCAGTTTGCTTACTAAACAAGGAATAGTCATACATTGAATGCCTATAGCCCCTTGAGCATAGGGCTTCATTTAGTTTGGCATACCACTGCCTACTTGCCTGCTTGAGGCCATAGAGGGATTTGTTAAGTTTACAAACTAAGTTTGGGTTGTCAACTGCCAGCCCCTGTGGTACCTCACAAGTCTATATGTAGGACTTGGAATATTTTTGTGGAAGCATGTGTTTTATGGGGAAAAGGCAATCTGCCTTGTCTAGACATTGGACAAATAGAGCAAAGAAAAGGCTGCTTTGGTGAAAAAGAAACTGGGATAGAGGTAATCCCTCTCATTTTGACAAAGGGTACATGCCCAAGTCTATTGTGCCACAAAAGATTAGGATCAGAAAATTCTACAGAAGATTTCAAACTAACATTTGTATTACTCAAGCATGAAGTATTTACATTTGGAGGAAAAGAGACACACTTATTTGTGGACAGTGAGTTATGAACATGTGAACTAGTATGACAATGTGAGTTGTGTGTGCAAAAGGAACTATTGATAAAGGAACCTGAATATTGGTTTCTCAGACACTTTGGGCAAAGAAGATATAGTCCATCACAAGCTTTACCAATCTCCAGAGGCCTCTTCATTNCATACATGAACTGGCTTAAGTGTTGCACACTATAAGCTATGTCCAATCTAGTGTTGGTGAGGAAATTGAACTTTCCTATCAGCTTCCTATAGTAAGTAGGATCTGTTAATTTTTTCCCTTCTTTGGCTTTGAGCTTCATAGTAGGATCCAATGGAGAACTAAAACTACTATAGTCTGCACAGTGATACTCTTTTAACAAGTCAAGAGTGAATTTTCTTTGGGAGACTATGACACCATCATCTTTGTAGAGGATTTCCAAACCCAAGAAATAATGTAGTTTC